TCTAAATCCTTTGTGGAGCTACTTGGAAGAGGGTGGTGAGCTACTGGTTACTCCCGAGCTACAGGTTGGTCTCCCCTTAGCTATCTTGAGCCAACTTCTGGTCTCTATCTCTAGTCTCTTCTATGGTTTTTATTTGGTGTCTGTTGTAATAGGGGCAGGTGTGTTGCTATGACGGTTGCTAGGCAAGCTTGAGTTTCCATTTGATTGGTCAATTCCTATGTTTATTATTATTTTTTTTATTTGTTTGGAGGATAAGCCCCTAAAGATGAAACATCTCGTTTTCGAGGGGGTCCTCGAAATTATACAAAGTGACAGATGCAGTAAGGCAGACAGTAGAGCAAACAATATAACATAAAAAAAAACATAAAAAAAAAAAGAGATACAGACACAAAAGACAAAGGATTTAAGCTAGTATCTATAGTAGTGCAAAACCTTGTATGCTCAATAACACTGGCATGGGTTCTGGAGGTGTTGGACCAGAGCATTTTTAAACAGAGGCAGAGACGTGAGAGAGTGGATGAAGGTAAACTGTTCCAGTCAGAAGGAGCTTTAAATTTAAATGAATGTTTTCCGACTTCTTTCTTAACTCTTGGGACAACAAAGAAACATTGGTTTGCATGACGCAAACCGTAAGTGGATCGCAGAGGAATCAAATATTGTTTCAAATAGTCCGGAAAACTTAAATTAATACATTTAAAAATAAACAGCAGCCAATGAAGCTGACGTCTGGACGACGGAGAGAGCCACGACAGCTGCTCGTACAGAAGACTGTGGTGGGTCCTAAAGGGACAGCGGAGAATGAACCCACACAGGCTGTTGTGTGTGACATTCAGAGGCTGGAGGATGGAGGCAGAAGTGTTTTGATAAATGATGTCACTGTAATCATGACAGTGCATGGTGCTTATGTGCAGGGGGCTTGCGCAAGTGTTGAAGGTCTTAATAAGAATTGAATTTTGAAACACTGTTTTCCAGACCTTGAAAAGTCTTGAATTTGAAGTTTTGATAAAATATGGAAAGGAATGTATGATATAATTTTACAGTACGCTCAAAGGCATTGTGAAAAGAGAAATAGGAAGGTAGGCTATAAAACTATCATATATATATATTTTTCATCTTTATTGCCATACACAATAAATTACAGCACGGACATTCAGACACATTCAGACACATTCAGACACATTCAGACACATTCAGACACATTCAGACACATTTGTACATATGGACGTCACTACCTTTTAAGGAGCTCGTCTATACAAATACCACACACGCATTTACATAGGGTCGGGGGGGTTCAGTGTGTGTGCATGTGCGTGTGTGTGTGTGCATGTGCGTGTGTATGTGTGTGTGCATGTGTGTGTGCATCAGGGACGTGCAGTCAGGGGAGGCAGGGGAGGCAGAGCCTCACCTGCCATTATTGGAAACTAATAATTATTTTAGTTTAAATATATAATTTATATCCACTGTCCTATGCTTTTAATGTATATTCGGCACGGTTCCCATCAGTTTTGATCATTTCTGAAGTCAAAATCGCCGAAATCCCGTTATTCCTATTCAAAGAGACGAGGTGCGTGCCTCACCTCAGACCGCTCCCTCACAGTGTGTGTGTGTGTGTGTGTCTGAGTGCACTCAGCTCGTGCAGTTGATATATCACCGTTTGTTTCAAATATCCTGCTTTAAAAACATTTTTTAAACTCCTCTTAGTGTTTAGTAGTGTATTGCACGTATGTGTGTACAATTTATATTTAGTTTAAGTCTTTTGATCGTAGATGAACACACAAGGAAAAAGCTTGGCGTGAGGCAGGCGGTATCTGTGCCTCACCGCTAGGGGTGATAGTGAGCATAAAGTTCATACCAGAGTTGCTAACAAACAATCAGCCCAAAATGCTATTTCTTTTGCTGGAAAATGGATGATTTGAATGAAGATTTTTTTTCTCAATTGGACTTTCAAACAAAGAAAGAATTAATATAGACTGGGAGACCACCACTGGACTTACGAGGTTAGTCCGGCTGCGGGGGAGGAGTTTGTTAATCTGTGTTTTATGTTGAACATTGACAGATACCGGCAAAGTAGTGCTTTTCCGAAAAACACTGATTCAAACACTGCTCAAGAGTTCTGCAACTTGTTTAAATTATTGTTTATGTTCCTCGCGTCTCTCTCTCCTCGCGTCTCTCTCTCCTCGCGTCTCCGTCTCTCTCTGCTCCTCGCGTCTCCGTCTCTCTGCTCCTCTCTGTCTCTCTCTGCTCCTCTCTGTCTCTCTCTGCTCCTCTCTCCTCGCGTCTCTCTCTCCTCGCGTCTCCGTCTCTCTGCTCCTCGCGTCTCCGTCTCTCTGCTCCTCTCTGTCTCTCTCTGCTCCTCTCTCCTCGCGTCTCTCTCTCCTCGCGTCTCTCTCTCCTCGCGTCTCCGTCTCTCTGCTCCTCGCGTCTCCGTCTCTCTGCTCCTCTCTGTCTCTCTCTGCTCCTCTCTCCTCGCGTCTCTCTCTCCTCGCGTCTCTCTCTCCTCGCGTCTCCGTCTCTCTCCTCGCGTCTCCGTCTCTCTCTGCTCCTCGCGTCTCCGTCTCTCTGCTCCTCTCTGTCTCTCTCTGCTCCTCTCTCCTCGCGTCTCTCTCTCCTCGCGTCTCTCTCTCCTCGCGTCTCCGTCTCTCTGCTCCTCGCGTCTCCGTCTCTCTGCTCCTCTCTGTCTCTCTCTGCTCCTCTCTCCTCGCGTCTCTCTCTCCTCGCGTCTCTCTCTCCTCGCGTCTCCGTCTCTCTGCTCCTCGCGTCTCCGTCTCTCTGCTCCTCTCTGTCTCTCTCTGCTCCTCTCTCCTCGCGTCTCTCTCTCCTCGCGTCTCTCTCTCCTCGCGTCTCCGTCTCTCTGCTCCTCGCGTCTCCGTCTCTCTGCTCCTCGCGTCTCCGTCTCTCTGCTCCTCGCGTCTCCGTCTCTCTGCTCCTCTCTGTCTCTCTCTGCTCCTCTCTCCTCGCGTCTCTCTCTCCTCGCGTCTCCGTCTCTCTCTGCTCCTCTCTCCTCGCGTCTCTCTCTCCTCGCGTCTCTCGCACCTGCGCTTCTTAAAGATGTTGTTTGATGCGGAGCAGAGTCAGCAGCTAGATTTGTTGTGAGATTATTAAAAGAAGCTGGTTCTCTTATCTTTACAGTATATAAAGTTTGTGGATGTCATTGCATTGGTGATTAAATGCTATTTTATTTGAATAATGATTGTAAATCTGACTTTTAAAGTCAGTGCCTCCCCAATCACAAACCTCACCGCACGTCCCTGGTGTGCATGTGTCTGTGCATGTGTGTGTGTGTGCATGTGTGTGTGTGTGCATGTGTGTGTGCGTGTGTTTGTGCGTGTGTTTGTACGTGTGCGTGTGCCTGTGTGTGCATGTGTGTGTGCATGTGCGTGTGTTTGTGTGCATGTGTGTGTGCATATTCACTTTTTGGGTGTTGAATAGGTATCTGAGGGAGCTAAAACTATAATTTTACTAACTGGTCACGTACTGTGTTAGCTTAATGGAATCAACGCTTGCTTTTTTGATTTTCTTGATGTCACTGCTAAGGTTTTTGAAAAAAAAAATCTGTTTAAAAAAAGTGGAATTTTAATTTGGAAAAAGAGCAAGCACCCTGTATGTGGCTCATATCTGGATTTACAAACAAAATTTCAATATATAAACCCTGGGTATTTTATGCACGAGATTAGAAGCAAGAGTGGCAAACTACGACGTGGCGTCTTACATTGAATCATATGGATAAATATAAGTAAAGTGGACCATGTTATCTCTATAGAGCCAATAGAACACAGTGGCTCCTGGTCTTTCTCAAAGTGCACAAATGTTGTATCTTTCCTCTAGAAATAATGGTTTTGTTTGTGGCTCCGCTCTACACATCTGTCCTCGGCTTCAGAGCGGAGCCAGAACCTCGTCATCACCACAAAGCCACATTCATTCCAAGAGACTGGATCTTTAAATGTTCAGCCAATGAGCTTTAAGCATTTGGCAGCATCTGTTTTAAGTTTTTATACGGACGACCCTCACTTTGGGATTGACATTGTGGTATTTCCAGTGCAGATAATAATGAATTTAGTAAACATTTAGTCAAATTAGCATTGTCAAATAACCACGTCTGAAATTATTTTGATTATTGTCAGTGATTAGCAATTTTAACAGAGAAACCTCGTTCTTTGTTGCAGAGTGAATTACTGTAGATCAGGAGGGCCGCATTGGTTTAACAGACTTCTCCAAGGGCCGGCATCACGAATTGTAAAACTATTTTGACGATAATTGTTCTAGTTGGAGATGCTAAATGAGGTATAACGTGATCATTTAAACATATATAGCATCTGTGAGAGCTGAGGTTAGTTGAATAGCATTCTCAATCGCTACATCAGTGCCATTGACAATTTTTTGCGCCATATAGAAAAATAAATTATTTCCAAAGGTTCTGAGCTTTACAATGAGGTATAACATGTCTGTATTGGAGAAGCGGAGGACGGCTGGAGAACACCATGAACTTGTGTTTGTAATCGTAGTCGTATTTTGGGTCAACAAGGCATAGGGCCACATGGAAAGACACAGCGGGCCGCAAATGGCCCTCAGGCCTGAGTTTGGACATGCCTGCTGTAGATGATACAAACCAGGACAAAAGTGTGTTTATGTGAAAGAGTCCAATACGTCATAAAGATCCAACTGAGAATGAGTCTTTTGTCGAGTGGTGCGTCCAGAGCTGGAAACAGAGAGACTCAGGATACAGACTCGGGTCAAATCAGGACTGAGGCAGGACTGAGGCAGGACTGAGGCAGGACTGAGGCAGGACTGAGGCAGGACTGAGGCAGGACTGAGGCAGGAGTCCAGCTGGACTAAAGCTGCTGGACTAAAGATGGACTAAAGCTGGTCTAAAGCTGGACTAAAGCTGGACTAAAGCTGGACTAAAGCTGGACTAAAGATGGACTAAAGATGGACTAAAGATGGACTAAAGATGGACTAAAGATGGACTAAAGATGGACTAAAGCTGCAGTGCTAAGGCAGTGCTAAGGCAGTGCTAAGGCCGAGTCTAGCGTCGAGTCTAGCGTCGAGTCTAGCGTCGAGTCTAGCGCCGAGTCTAGCGTCGAGTCTAGCGTCGAGTCTAGCGTCGAGTCTAGCGCCGAGTCTAGCGCCGAGTCTAGCGCCGAGTCTAGCGCCGAGTCTAGCGCCGAGTCTAGCGCCGAGTCTAGCGCCGAGTCTAGCGCCGAGTCTAGCGCCGAGTCTAGCGCCGAGTCTAGCGCCGAGTCTAGCGCCGAGTCTAGCGCCGAGTCTAGCGCCGAGTCTAGCGCCGAGTCTAGCGCCGAGTCTAGCGCCGAGTCTAGCGCCGAGTCTAGCGCCGTATATATTTTCAGTTGAGTTCAAAGTTCAAGCGGCGGGTCCCGGCTCAAAAGGGTCCATGAGCATTTAAACTGAAATGTAGTAATCTGGCTCCTCCGGTGGTGGTGTACAGGAAACAGAATTATCCAAATAATTTTAACAACACCTTCTTACACTTTTATTCACATTTCCCTGCGTGAGGAGCTGCCTGCGGCCATGACTGCAGTGCAAAGTGATGTCACATAAGTTTCAACGACGGAGATGAAATTTTACTGCATCCAATAATATTTACAGTTTATGGTTCAAACAGAGCCATTCAGGATCACATGGTCAGAAATATGTATATCCCTGTAAAGATGAATACAACGGAGGTGGCTGAAATCATCATTTAGCCGTAAACTCTAAAATGATAATAAATGACCCAGACTCTCTCTCAGCCTCCACTTCCTCTTTGTCTCTTCTCCTCCACATTTTTGGCTTTTGTGGTGAGAGTCAGCAGATGTTTGTCAGCTCCAAGTCTGAAAAGGGAAACGCGGTCGTCAGCTCCGGATCTGCTCCACTGGACAGAACTCCATCTCCTTTTGTGTGCGGAGCCTCATAGTTAAAGCTGGGGTACTTAACTTCCAAACCATAGAAAACTGAACAATGTATAATATCCATGTAACTGCATTGGTCCTCGTCTTCAAATCAGGTGTTCACATGCATGTATTTTTAACACTCGGGGAAAAGGTCCTTGCCCCTCTCTGTATGGAGAGAGCAAGTGGGTGAGCTCGGAGTAGAGCCCCTGCTACTGGAGAAGAGCCAGTTCTGGTGGCTCGGGAGGTATTCTGGGCATGTCTCAAGTGACTGTCTCTCTGTGTGGGAAAGAGCAATGGGAAATTTTAAACAACCAAATCAGCCTCTGATTTGATCTTTCTACTGTTACATAGAAAATGAAAGGTCATTGTTCTGAAAAAGCACAAGATTGACATTCACGCGGCATCAGTAAATCACTTGATTTAAAAATGAATCACTTAAAAAACAGAGTGAACTCAAATTTAAAATGTGTAAATGTGTCAAGGTTTTTGTCAATTTTTTTCTAAAATTTGAGAAAAAAAATGATAGTCTGGTTTCACATTAAGTGGTTTACTCTAAGAAAGTTTGACTCTGTTTCTACTCTGTGGGAAAAAAAAAATCTCTTAATCAAATGCGGATCTGAAAATATGTAACAAACTTGAGCACATTTTGTCCACATAGTTCGTTTAGGAAACTTGACTAATTTATAAAACTTTTAGCAGCTTGGACAGAAGAGGTATTCAGATGAAAAACATTGCATTATTATTTTTCTAATTTTTGGCCTTTTGTCACACTTTTGTACCCTTTGGTGTGAACGAGCCCGGGCTTACGAAGAGTGGGGGAATACAGGCCTCAAACCTGCGATTGAAATATTTATGTTGGTTCTTTTGCTGAGGTCTGTATTTTTCCTGTATACTTTGGCCTCTAACCTTCGGGATTTTTAGATTGGCTTTTTCAGACAGAAAAGAGAGGACCTCCCCCACAGCTCTCAGCTCTAAGCATCATACAGTGACTCACAACTCTCTCACTAAGATCATTTCTTTGTCTCATACAATGTTCTCAACCTTTTCATCTGCCTTCAGCTTGATTTAAACAATCACAATCACAAACAAAGTGATCGTGCGGCAACACACACCTAACACCTCATCCTGACATACACCGACGTGAGCGAGCTAGCGTCAATAAATGATTAGAATGCGTATGTTTCAATCAGCCTTTCCTGACATGCAGCGGGTGATGTCACACAGTCCAGCTTTGACGCTGACCCCTGAAAAAATTGCTCCTGTCGTTGTGTCCTTGGGCAAGACACTTAACCCCACTTTGCCTGAAGCTCCCACTGAAAGATCTCAGCTCCTGTGGACTCACCACCTGCAGGAGGATCAGTGAGGGGCTGGTGCTCTGTGTGCACCAGCCCCTCACCGACCCCTCACCGACCCAGAAATGGATTAAGGGCAAGAAAATGGATGGATGGATGGACGGTTTCATATAGTGCTTTTTGGGACACTCATAGACCCTTCACATGTCAATATTCTTTCACTCATACACAGTGGCTGACAGAAGCGAGGCAGCCAGTCTGTGCCATCGGCCCCTCCCACCACCACCAACCATTCACACACACACCAGACTCATTCTAATGTGGGGGTGAAGTGTCTTGCCTAAGGACACAACTACAGTTTGGCACTTTACAGCCGCAGCCGCCCCACTGTGGCACCTGCTGTTCCCAGAGGTTAAGTGTCTTGCCCAAGGACACAACGACAGCAGACATCAGTGGGAGTCGGTGGAGAAAGTCTTGTGGTGGGCTTGAACCCACAACCTTCAGGCTCAAATGCTCTACCAACTGAGCCACTGTCGCTCCATAGACTCACCCGCAGCACAATTGTCACGCTGCAGATCAGGACACTTTCGAGCAACATTTCCTCGTGGCGTCGCTCGCTCGCTTTATGTCAGGATGAGGTGTGAGACCCTGTTGAAGCCGGTTTATTTTTGGTTGCACATTAAAAAACGGCTGGAGTCGGTGTTTGGGATTTTCCAGTTTCTTGTTGCTGTGATCCGTGATGCGTCTGAAGTGCGTCCTATTGTTACTGTGGGGATGAGTCAGAGTCAGACTGTACAACGACTCCGCACAACAATACAAATGTGCAGTCCATGGCTTCATCAGTGCCACAGGCTTTAAGATCACATAGAACCACCATGTTGAGTTTGCGGATGATTTTATCGCCTGCATTACTTGAGCTGATTGGCCGGATGATGAGGATCCTTTCGTTTCACATTAATGTTTGAAAAAGCGGATCTAGCGAGATGGATTTAGCTCCAAGTTTGTGCTTTTGAGGTTTTAACTGGACTGATTCTCAAACACCTCAGAGACAGCAACTTTTTTACAGTAAAATACTTTGTCCATGAATTTTTCAAGGAACAATTGTTTCAGTGTATTTTGACCTTGACTGTGACAATCAAAGAATACAATATCCTTCCGACAAAGGCTGAAGAGCCCTGCTTGTCTTGTCATTAATACACCTTCTGTGTCAGTCTTTTATTCAGAAGGTGTTCGCGCACTTCCTCAGGATTGAGCATTTTGGGAGCAAGCAGCTCTTTGGACACTGGAAGAGTGGAGCGTGTTTGCCTAGACATAAGTCTTTGTGCTGGAGATCCAAGTTTAGAGTCTCTAGGTACGTTCCTTAAGTTCAGCAGGCAGAGAAACACATCTGTTTTGTCCCTATGTGATTTCTCCATGAGGTTCTTAGCACTACGGACGGCTCTCTCTGCTAGTCCATTCGATTGAGGATACTCTGGGCTGCTAGTAACATGAGCAAAGTCCCATTGAGCTGCAAAGTCCTTAAAGCACTGACTTGTGAACTGTCGTCCATTATCTGTGATCAGAGTGTGAGGGGCTCCATGGACCGAGAAGTGCCTTTTTAGTTTGCAGATCACATTAGCCAACGTGATGTTGTTTAACAGGTCAATCTCGAACCAGCCCGAGAAGGAATCCACGAGCACCAGATACTGCTGGCCGTGCCATTCAAAGATGTCAGCAGCTACAGTCGACCAAGGGAGCTCAGGAATGGTGTGCAGGAGCAACGGCTCTTTTTGCTGATGTGGTTTAGTGCTATTACACACCGGGCATGCCTGAACCTCGTTATCAATGTCCATTGCCATTGTAGGCCAAAACACAATGCCTCTCGCCCTCCGTTTTGTAGCTTCCGAGCCAGGGTGGCCCCTATGTACAATGTCAATGTATGTCTTCTGTAATGAATGTGGGATTACAGTTTTCTGACCCTTCATAACAATACCATCCTCAACAGCAAGCTCATCTCTAAAGGGAAAGAAAGGATGCATTGCAAAAGGGAGATTGTGTAGTTTACTTGGCCAGCCATGTCTGATGACGCCGCTGAGGGTCTGGAGAGTCCAATCAATGGCTGTGTGTTCTCGCAGTTCCTGTAAACGAGCAGATGACACATAGCTGACAGTCATTACATCAAAATCATCCACCTCGTCTTCAAGTTGTGCCGTGGAGCTTGTGGGAGCCCTGGACAAAGTGTCAGCCAGGTGCATTTGTTTGCCGCTTTTGTAGATTAGCTCAATGCTGTACTTCTGGAGCCGCAGCATCATCCTCTGCAGCCTGGCCGGAGCAGTATGAATGGGCTTCTTGATGATTGTGACAAGCGGTTGATGATCAGTTTCAACGGTGATAGATTTGCCATAAATGTAATCATGAAACTTTGAACATGCAAAAACAACAGCTAATAGCTCTTTTTCTATTTGCGCATAACGCGTTTCGGTATCGGTTAAAGTGCGTGAGGCATAAGCCACAGGTTTGCCACCCTGCAGGCACGCAGCACCAAGTCCATATTGCGAGGCATCACAGGTAAGTGTAACATTCTTCCGCACATCATAATACGATAGAACGGGAGGATTTGACATGTGCCCTTTAAGGGTGTCAAACGCGCGCTGATGCTGTTCATGCCACGACCATTCAGTGTCTTTGTGTGTTAATTGTCTCAGTGGAGCAGAGGTCTCACTGAAATTAGGGATGAATTTCCCGAGGTAATTAACCATACCGAGAAACCTTTGCACAGCCGGCACATCCGCTGGCACTGGCATGTCGCTGATCGCCTTTGTTTTCGTGGGGTCTGCCTTCAGACCGTGTGCAGTGAAAACATGTCCAACATAACTGACTTGGTTGAGCCTGAATTTGCACTTTGAAGGGTTGAGCCTTAGATTAACCTCTCTCGCTCTGTCAAGTACCTTTTTTAGGTTTGCATCAGGCTCCTCAATGTCCTTGCCTCCAATCAGTATGTCGTCCACAATGATGGCGCAGGGGTATCCAGCAAAGATCTGCTCCATGGAGCGTTGAAATACCTCACTGGCAGAACTTATCCCAAACGGCATTTGGAGGAATCTGTAACGACCAAAGCATGTGCTAAAAGTAGTTAGCATAGATGATTTGTGGTCCAGCGATATCTGCCAAAATGAGCTCTTTGCATCCAATACTGAGAACACTGTGGCATTAGACATTTGTGATGCGACATCATCTACTGTGCGCATCGGGTGGTGTGGTCTTTTAAGGGCCGCGTTAAGGTCCTTTGGATTTATGCAGATCCGTATTTCTTGTTTGTCCTTCTTATTTGTGGCGACCATGGAAGATACCCAGTCTGTGGGTTCTGATACTGGTTTAATGACCTCTAGTTCTTGCATTCTGTCCAATTCGTTTTTTACTCTGTCTTTCATCGCCACAGGAATGCGGTGTGCTGAGCGAACTACAGGTCTCACCTCAGGATCCAGCGTCATTGAGTAAGTAACTGGTAGCTTTCCCAGCTCATCTGAAAAAAGATCACTGTACTTTGTTTTAATCTGTTGAGTGAAATCATTAGTTATTGCAGCGCTACTCACTTGGTGAACTTCCTTGCTGAGTGAGACGAGATCCATCTGTAAGGAAGCGTTGAGACCAAGCAATGGCTGTACATGCTCCTCAATCACGAAGAATGGCAGGGTGTAGCACTTAGCCCCTAGGTGGCAGCACAGGTCAACGATTCCCTCAGTCTTTATCTTACTGCCTCCATATGCAACCAGGTTCGTTGGTTTAGTGCATGGTTTGATTTGTTCAAATTTTTTCACTTTGAGAAACGTCTTTGTTGAGAGGACATTACATTTGGCACCAGTGTCCACTTTCATCTCGATGGTTTTATCATTAATCCGCAGCGTTGTGAAAGCTTCCTCCTTTTCGTTTGTTTGTGCTACAGTAGAGTCCACCGCCAGGTCCAGTGTAATGCCATTCACATAATATGTGTTACCGTCACTGTCACTCTCCTCTTTGTGTTCAGTATACACCTGGTGGACCGATTTCTCTTGTCTAAGCCTGTCGTACTGAGGTCTGGACCTGCAACACTTTTTGAAGTGGTTCATTCTCTTACAAGCGTTGCACTTTTGGCCATATGCTGGACATTTAATCCTTGCAGCTGAATGACTCCCACCACAATTGTTGCAGTCGTTAATTAACTGTGTGGGTTTTGCGTTTGATCTGTCGAACCTCTCAGTGTTGCGTCTTTTTGTGTATTTGTTTTGCACTGCATCTACATTCGTGGCTGAGCTTTGTGGTGACATGAGCGATTTATTGTGCTCCTCAGTCATCTCATGAATCTGGCACACCGAAATGGCTTTAGCGAGTGTTAAATCATTGTCACAAAGCAAAACTTTCCTAAGGTGGTCGTTGTTTATGCCACAGACCAGTCTGTCTGTGACAAGTTCCTCACGAAGCTCACCAAAATTACAGCTCTTCGCTTTTATTCTCAAATCACTCACATATGACTCAACTGTTTCACCAGCCTTTTGATTTCGTGTATTGAACTTGTGTCTCTCCATCGTTATGTTGGTTTGGGGGTTACACATTTCCCTGAACTTTCTTTTAAGGCATTCTGGGTCCTCCTTGGATTCAGCGGGAGCCAGGACACGTCCATCGTCACCAGGTTCACGTACCTCCGCTGCATAGACAAAAGAGCGCTCCCTCTCGATTGCTTCAGGGCCTGCTAGATTCAGGAGAATGTAGGCTCTTGTCCGTGCAGACTTGTCTGAATGAGCTGCCGCGACGAAAATGTCGTATTCTTGCTCAAAAACGCGCCAGTTCTCCGCAATGTTGCCATCAAACACCAGCGGGTCGGGACGTCTGAAGCAGTCTGCCATGATGCTGAAAAAATTAGCGTTGTAGCACGATGGTCCCGCAAAAAATACTCACAACACGTTGTTTTTACACTCCTATGTCAAAATCCAAGACTTCTGACACCATGTTGTGTGTTGTGATAATAAGAGAACTCGGAGAAAGGGTCAACTTTGAGTTTAATAAAACACCGGCAGTAGGAACACACTCAGGTATATCTCGGTGCTTTCATAGCATAAAATTATCCTCTATCCCCCACCACTGCGCATGTGTAGACACGAGTATGGTAGCTGTGATAGGTCACACTAGCAGCACTCTACAGACTGATTCTTATTCACGAATCTACTTGGTGTCAGAAGTGGGATTCATCACAAAGACTGCACAGCTCATGAAGACAACCGGAGCTGGTAAAGAAAAAAAGAAAAATCTGATCTCCGCAGAAACGCATGTACAATGGCGGACGGATTCCGACGACCAGATCCTCTCACATTTGACGGCAATGTTGCTGAAAACTGGCGTAAGTTCGCGCAAGAATATGATATATTCATAGCCGCAGCCCACAGTGATAAAAACGCTAAAACTAGAGCCTACATACTCCTCAATCTGGCGGGACCAGAGGCAATAGAAAGAGAGCGTTCATTCACATATGCACCTGCGGTACTCGGAGCAGACGGTGCCGTCGTAACAGCTGCAGAGTCAAGAGAAGACCCAGTGTGTTTGAAAAGAAAGTTCAAGGAAATATGCAATCCCGAAACAAATATCATAATGGAGAGACACAACTTCAACAAAAGACAACAGAAACCAGGAGAAACCGTCGAGGCTTATGTTAGTACATTGAGAATCATGGCTAAAACGTGCAACTTTGGCGCATTGCAAGACGAACTAATAAGACAGATTAGTTTGCGGTGTCAGCAGTGACAGCGTGAGGTGCTCCCTGCTCAAAGAAACTGAATTAACTCTCATAAAAGCAGTTCGCATTTGTCAAATAAGCGAGCTCACTGACCAGCACACTAAAGCCCTTTCTACTCCAAAACACGTGACTTCTGCCAGTGTGGACGCTGTTCAAATAAAACATTACACTCCAAAAAATGCCAACAAATACAGGAAAAAACAAGAGGGCATTTCCACAGGTATTTCAAATTGCAAAAACTGTGGTGGTTCACATCCAGCCAAACGTGAGCAATGCCCTGCATTTGGACAACAATGTCACACCTGCAAGAAATACAATCATTTCAAAAGTCAATGCAGGTCAGCAAGGCCACATCCCAGGCACAAACAAGTGAACCAAATCTCAGAGGTTGACAGCGAAAGTGACGAAGACACGTTTACTATTGAACATTTGACACTCGACGGCGAGGAGAGCACAAAGAAAGAAGGATACTGCACAGTGACTGTAAATGATAAAGATCTAAAGCTCAAAGTTGACACAGGAGCTAAATGCAACGTGATTTCACTGGATACGTACAAAGACTTTTGCCAAAGAGACACACTGCAAAAATCCGACAAGCAGACAAATCTCATTGCTTTCGGCGGGACAAAGATCAAGTCGGCAGGCACAGTTACTGTCAAATGCACTGTCGCCAAGAAGACCTACGACTTACTTTTCCACGTCGTGAAACAAAATGTACAGTCCATCCTGGGAATGAAGGATAGTGTGAAAATGAAACTGGTCACGTTCAGCAAAGACGTTTTCCATATTGACACTGCTCCTCATGATTCAAGCATCGAACAGGAGGTGTTTTTTGAGTATCAGGACTTATTCAAAGATGAAGTCGGTGATCTACCTGTCACATACTCAATGAAACTCGCTCCAAATGCCATACCAGTTGTCAATCCTCCACGACGCATCCCAGTGCCTATCCAAGACAAAGTGAAAAAAGAGCTCAAAAGAATGCAGCGACTTGGTGTAATTGAACCGGTGGAGGAGCCAACTGAATGGGTGTCAAACATGGTGGCTACGCACAAGAAGGAAGCTGATGATGTGCGTCTCTGCATCGACCCGAGAGACCTAAACAAGTCGTTAATGAGACCACACCATCCCATGCGCACAGTGGAGGAAGTAGCGGCACAAATGTCAGGAGCAACAGTCTTCTCTGTGTTGGACGCAAAAAGTTCGTTCTGGCAAATCAAACTAGATGACGCTTCCTCACTACTCACCACATTTGCCACGCCATTTGGCAGATTTAAGTTTCTGAGAATGCCATTTGGTATCAACACAGCCTCTGAAGTATTCCAAAAAGCCATGGAACAGATATTTGCAGGATATCCATGTGCGATCATCGTCGATGACATCTTGGTTGGAGGTAAAGGAATTGTGGAACACGACATAAATCTCAAGAAAGTTATGGAACGCGCCAGACAAGTGAAATTAAGACTGAATAGAAAAAAGTGCAGATTCAGGCTCAATGAAGTGAGTTATGTTGGGCACATCTTCACTAACATTGGACTCAAGGCAGACCCAACCAAAATGGCTGCAATCAATGACATGCACTCACCTGAAGACAAGGCTTATCTTCAGCGTTTCCTAGGCATGATCAACTACCTAGGTAAGTTCATTCCGAACTTGAGTGAACTGTCAGCACCATTACGCCAACTGCTCCATAAAGACGTGGTGTGGAGTGGGACTCAACATCAGGAGGATGCTTTCCGCAAACTTAAAGCATGCATCACAAGCCCACCAGTTCTCCAGTATTACGACATGCAAAAACCAGTGACCCTCACCTGCGACGCTTCTCAATACGGTCTCGGAGCTGCCTGTCTACAGGACAACAAACCCGTCGCGTACGCATCACATACTCTGACCGACACGGAAAGAAGGTACGCACAGATCGAGAAGGAGTTACTCGCAGTTGTGTTTGCGTGTTACAAATTCTACGACTACATCTATGGAAAGCCAGTGTGACACCCAGTAATGTGTTGTCACATTATGTTTAATTGTATTTAGTATTTAGATAAGTCTTGTTTCATAACAAGGACGTTTACGTTGTAGTAACACCCTGAAGCCAGCAGGTGGTGTATGGTGAGCAGGTGTAATGAGGTCAGTGGCGCTCCTTCACCAATATGGCTGAAGCGAGACAAAAGGAAACCCCGTGTCCGCCTGACTCATCCTTATCCTGTATTTTTCAGGTTCGTACTAATGTCACAAGCACAATGTATGGGTCAGAACATACTTATAACGGTAACAGCTAACTGTTAGAATGTTTTAAATGAGCTTTTTCTGTAGTTTTGTCAAGTTTTGTGTGGTAACGGAAAAGACAAGGAACTGGTCAAGGCGAAGTAACGACCGCCATCTTATGTGTCTCGTATTTTATTTTTCAAGCTCCGATTTAGATAGTGATACTGAATTTTACGTGCCCTGACATAGTTTGTTGTGTGTACATTTGAAGTTAATGTTTGTAGGTTTGAATAATTACAGTTAAAAAGGTCTCCATCTGAAGTTAAAGCCAGTATTCGTAGCTCAGGAGCTGCTAAGCTAGTAGTGGTACATAAGAAGTAGTTTAAAAAAGGAGTACAGCTACATTATGAATAAGATATGGTATATGTATATTAAATACAGACAAAATAAATAGATAAAAAGTATTTAATTGACTAGATACAATGTCAAGGGTAATTTAGACATTTACTGTACATGATTAAATGATTAAAATGTGATTGAAATGTGATTATTATTATACATGATTGTGTGAATAGCATTTGTAAATGTTGAAGGATGAAAACACATGATTGTATTAATAAATATGGCTGAAGCGAGACAAAAGGAAACCCCGTGTCCGCCTGACTCATCCTTATCCTGTATTTTTCAGGAACATTTATTAATCTGCTCAAACAGGCCCAGGACCTGGGTCTGTTACAGATTCTTGGTGGCCCGTACGGGGATTGGCTCTACATCCATGGAGCTGATCCTCATCAAACAACAAACCTGCTAAGGAGCTGACTGAAAGGAGCAAGGAGAAGACCCTACTGAAAGTGACCTATCACAGAGCTACGGAGAGAACATTATGGCAGACAACGAAAGGAAGAGCCTGGTGTGGGACATCAGGAAAGGCCTGTTCGCATTGTCGCATGATCAACTTTTCCAAATTGCTTCAAACGTGGGTACTGGACCAGGCAGGGATTCTTCAGAGCTGTCAAGTGGAGATGCAGAGGGATGCTTCAAGTATATTAGTTCCTTCATGTACAGTAAGACTTTGTTAGAAGCCGAGGACCGTGGGATGGGAGATTTATTAGCTTTGAAGGACATTGTAGATGAGTTGCTACGAACGCCCAGTGAGAATGCAGTTGAGATAACTGGGGAAGCGTCATCACAAGTTCTTACCTCACCACCCTCTGAAAGCAGTGAACAAGACACGATGCAACCAAACATGGACAATAGTAGTACGAGTCCAGTATTTTCACATGATGATGTTCTCAAAATCATTGCAGACTATGAAAAAGTAAGCAAAACATTACAGGGGCTAGTAATAAATCCCACTGTTCAACCTGCTCAAGATAAGAATGCCCCACAGGCCAGACCTCCGGTTGTTAACCCTATAGTTTCCCTCCGAGACCTACCGTACCTGCCAAGACGTGAGTTTAAGGTTCAGGGAGGACAAATCGGGGATCACACATCAGACATTAGCTACAACAGTGTTTGCAGACAGATGGAAGAAGGCACAAAAGAACACTTCACAGAGTCAGAGATTGTGAGGGGCGTGCTGAAGATCATAAAACCTGGAGATTTCAAGGACATGTTAGTTAATAAAGATGATTTGACATTATGCTAAAGGGACTTCTGCAGTCACATCTTGGAGAGAGGAATAGTACAGAGTTGTTCCAGGAGTTGATCTGCGCTAAACAGAGAGACAATGAAACAACACAAAAATTCCTGTATCGTGTGATTGGCCTAAAACAAAGAATCCTTTTTGAGTCTAAAAAGTCTGATTCAGAGATTAAATACACACCAGAAACGATTCAAGGTGTCTTTTTACATACAGTTTATCAAGGCATAGGGCACAAGGATAACAACATCAGAAGAGAACTTAAGCCC